CTCTCTTTCTTTTGCTTGATGAATCCATAACCAAACAATTTTTACTTATATAGATATATAAATACTTTTTATCTATTACTGTTTGTGTTTCTTTTGTTGTTCAATGATGAGAACGAGAGAACGAAAAGAACAAAAAAAAATGAGAAATATGGAGAGTCTTGCTCAATGTCGACGTCCCCTACACATCACCCTGTTATTCAACATTACTAAAAATAATTACATCACAATTATTGAACAGAGTGCAAGTCAGTTATATTGTTCCATACATATATATAGTCGAATAATCACGCGTGCTCTCTACACATATTATTCGAATTGTCATCGTTATCGTGCATTTGCTTGACATGTCAACTTGAGATGCATATGATTATCAATATATATATTGTCTAGACATAACGGTATATGTCGGTATTATCGAATAGGTATTGTGACTTGTTCATATTCATTTTAGATTGATTAATGAACTAATTCATTGATCAATGGAACAGTATTTGAATTTAGTTTTGAAAAATTATACAGCATCATTTTCTCAAAATTCGAATGAGAATTTATTTGACGAACATGATTGTAAGAATTCAACGTTATTTATTTATTTATTTATTTATTTATTTTCATTGTTTCATATTTTCTTTTTTAAGCATCAGATATATTTACTGATAATGATTTACATTATAAAATTCCATTTTGGATTGGTGTAATTGTAATTAGTCTTCTTTTTTTATCAGTAATCATTGCAACAATACGTTATTGTTTTTATACATTATGTTCATCAGATATAGGTGAGTTCATTATAAACTATCAGAAATGGTTTTTTTTTTCTTTTCAAATTGTCATTGTTTTTGTTACGTCATAATCAAGAATAAAAAAGAAGAAAATCTTAATATAAACAACTTCACCCTTTATTTGAAAAAGATGAATAAATACTTTTCTTTATGACTTTGTTTCTTTTGTACATTTTTTTCTTCATCATTCCAATGTACATATATATACATATACAAAATTTTTTTTGTATGCTTCTAAATTGACATTGAATCGGACCGTTAAAATGATATTCATATGTTTATAAACGAGAGTAAACAATGAATGTATACAAAAGCATCGGTTTACATTTATGAATAATAGTGCTAAAAGCATAATGTCAGATGAATTAGAGTGAACAAAAAAAAAGTAGAAGAGAATATTCCTTGCCTTTTTGTATGCAATATTGAATTCTTGCGCTTGATACTTGAGTTCCTCATAAACAGCAACTAATCGCAAGAACAAATATATGTCAAAACGTAGTCATCATGCGATCTAGCAAGTCATCCAAGACAATCAAGTGTGCTAGTGATTTGAATGATAAGATGTTTATTCCATTTTGATCCGCATAAAAAGATTTCCGACAAGTCAAACTTTATCTAAGCTATTGTTCGAGAGCAATGGGGAACTTCTTGAAAGAACCAACAAGATTTTTTTTTACTTCATAAGTCCCTTTTTGAGCATACTAAAAATTGTTAGAAATGATTATTTTGCACAGGGAATATTTATATAATATTGAAATAAACCGTAGTTTTTATCCAAGTGAGGTTACAAGTATTTTTTCAAGAGCTTCTTTCAATTTAAAACAATTGTTGATTTTTCAAAAGTGAGTATCTAAGGAACAGCAGTACATACGATCCAAAAATTGGCAATTCAAAAAATTCAACATATCGCATAACTTTGAATTATATCTGTTCAAAGTATCACGGAATTGTAGGAATTCAAGAAAATTTAAGAAGCCCAACATATACGTATATCTTTGAATTATATCCCCTGGAAGTATCATGGAATTCAAGGAAATCAAAGAATTCAAGCAATTCCATCGTAGTTTAGACTTGTAACTCACTATGTTATGTATCTTTGTTTCATTCCTTGAATTTCCTTGAATTGCGAATTTCTGGATTCTACGTATATGTCAAACATATTCTTTCAAAAGATTAAAATTTTTATATTTTAATTTAGAAACAGAAAAAATGGCATTAATGCCACCCAAATCACCATGTCTCACCTCAAATATTCCTAATCGGATTCAACATAAAAAATGTCAACTAGTTGATCCAATTCCTCGTAATTCATTCGATCATAATGAAACATCATTATCATCTATTGAACAATCACGAGATGATCACTCAAATATATCTATTATACCAATAAAGCGTCATCATTCTCGATCATATTTGACATCACCACGACGTCATCATGCAAAAAAAGACATTGATCATATAAATGATGATTATTTTTCATCAACTAAAATATCATCTTCCCAAGTTGCAGTTGATTTTCGAAAAAGAATTCATGATATTTATGTTTTACCTGTTTCACCTGCACTATCATCTTCATCATCAACAACAAATACAGATGAAATAATAAAAATTCGTTCGAAAACAATGCCTAATCGAACTCGAAGACATTTATCATCATCATCATCATCATCAATGCATATTCATCATGATTCTACATATTCTGGAATTCAAAATAATTGCTTTACTGATTCACCAAAACCAAAAGATCGTACATTACGTTATATTCAACCACCATCACAACCTCCACCATTACCACCAATAATTTCACAAATAAATTTCAATAATAATAATGACAAATCATCATTAGAACATCATTCAACTACAACTGATCGAAAGCTCAATTCAATTGTTCTTCATTTTAATACAATTGATAAAAATCAAATGAAAAAACCTTCACCACCACCTGTACCTTATCGATTACGAAAACCTTCACAATTACCAATCAGATTAGAAAAATTAATAAATCAATCAGATCACACTAACTTTCAATTTATAGCAGAATCATCTCCACAAGATGAATGTTCAGAACATGCATGGCCAAAACCACCTGAATCTATGTCAACATCAGAAATCAGTGGACCATCGTCAATATCTTATGATCATTTACTTCCTACGATAAATATTGACCAAAATAGTACAACAAATATTTTTCATCAATATCCACATGATGAAGATTCAATGTTAACAGAATCGGAAACATAATAAAACATTTTGTAATTCTCTACTTGTTTCTCTTCTTTCTCTTAAAGACAGATGGCTGTTGTCAAATAACAGTATTGTACAGTTTTATTTATAAGTTTTATGCACATGTTTAGTTTATTTAAATGAATTGTAATAATAACATAATAATACATATGAAATAAGTTTTAATAAAGAAACAATTTTCAGCCTTTTCACCTTATGAAACTATTTATAGGAAAAAAGAAAATTTGAATTTTGATTACAATTCATAAAATGAAAGAATCTACGATAGTATCAAATGTTTATTTTATTTTTATGAGCGACTATTGCATGTTTGCTTTAATCATTGATACTATAGGTTGTATGTTTTACAAAGGAGATTTTTTTCTTATGTGCGTATATATTGCGCGTAAAATATTGAAAATAATTATAAAATGTTTATTGTCATTGTATGCAGTTTCCTATTTTTTAATTGTGTTTATCATGCTAAATTCGAGCTTAAAAATAATTTTGAGAAAATTAGCTTCTTTTTGGAATCATAATATCATACGTAGCCAAAGAACGTTGCCAGTGTATGCATTAAATCATTCAAATTGAGATGAACTTTTTTTTTTTATAGAATCAAAGCTAGTTTTATAAGAGAAGACGGCTATTGAATATCTACTCGTGTCAATATTTGCATTCTGTGGTTTAATAATTTATGGAGCCGGTGTTCAGAAGTCACTTACTAAAATAAGGGCATTGTATTTTTTCACAACATTTTGATCAGATGAGCGTATTTTTTTCTTGATCATAGAAGAAAGTCTCAAGTTTTTATTTATAAATCAGCAGTTTATTGACACATTTGAAATCTAGCACGGTCTACACTCCATAAAATGAAATATGCCAAAGAATGTTTAGATACCCTTGTGTTGTTGGACTTGTGTACTCATAGAAGTATCTTATCTAAACTCAGCTGTAGTTCCCTAGCTTCTTGAGCAATATTTTATGTACAACAGTTGAAGAGGATGCTGAAAAATGTTAAATAGGCTAAGCGAAACCTTGAATCGAAATAAAACAGGAAGAGAAATTGACATTAAAGTATATTCACAAATATTATTGTTGATACTTCTGAAACAAAAGAATTTATAAATAAAAATTAATCTAATGGATGGAACAGAATGAATAATCACATTTTGTCTTTCATTATAAATACAAAATATACTATACCATGAAATGTGAAAAGCTCTAAAATTTACACAGAAAACTTTATTGAAAATATGCATCCTTTGTTTTCAAAATAAACAAGTTTTTAACGCTCTAAACATGAGCTTCTTTTGATCTCAATGTATGAGACGAAGTTAAGAACTATGGTCCACTGATTGATTAAATACAAAAAAAAATTAACTTGTTCGCAGCGTCAAAAAATTAACTCGAACAGATTTTCGTACTATTTTAACAAGAAATGGTGTGTATATTCTTTGATGGGTGATGAAAAAAATTAAATGCAAAGCCTGTTATCTTTGAAAAGATTATTTATGAAAACTCATTATTGAAATTTTCTTTTATTGATGCAAATCGAATATAGCAAAATTTCAGCTCTAATCAATATCTATCCATGGTTTTATCATTGATATTTACTTATATTTGACTGAGCATTATTTTAATGGTTTTTTTTTTTGCTTCAATAATTGTGTTCAACAATAATTATAAGAAAGATGTTTGAATGTTAAACATTAAAAGGATGAGTTGAATGAACAATATAAGAAAGCAAAACAAAAGAGCAATAATCATTTTCGTTTTAAATGTGAATCAATCTTTCATCGTTGTCGTTTTTGATCATAACATTGTTTATGTTTGTCTAGCTACTCAGTCATTAATATATTTGATTGAGTGAATGAACAATTTATTCAAGCGTTACTGATCTGATTTTAACAGTAACACTGTATCAAATAGTTGTCATTTCAAGTTTATTTCCATAGTTACAATGCATCTGAAGTCAATGACAAAAGAAATCTATTATTGAAATCGATTCCAAAATGTCGATGATGGCATTGATGTTTGAAGAAAATTTGCTAGACAGAAAAATAAATATTTTATTTGAAATTTTGTTATTATTAGAAATACATACATGATTGACATGTTGTATTCGATGAAAGTGTATTATAATCCGAAGAATAATAAGATGATGGCTTTTGTGCAAATGAAAGATCTTCATAACAATTACCTAATTAAATAATAGAATTATATTTTGAATACGATAGCAACATATTATTACAGGATTGCTTTGAGCGGTGAGCGTGGTCTTCAATCTTCAAGAACTTTCGTTTTCCTCCCAACAAAACTGAACAATTTAGTTTCTTTTTTTTTTGCTTAATCCTTTCGCGGCGATATGACTCACCGGTGGGTCACGCTATAGGGTACCCCAAAAGCTCATTTACCACAGAAAAAATTGAATATCTCTGCCATACTTTGGCCAAAGAAATTGGTTCTTTTATCATTGATAAAGGAATGTTCATAGTTCATATTCATTAGAGAAACATTGATGAAAGTTGTTTTGAATTATTACAGTTGTCACAAATAAAGAAATGAAACCTTTCACAATTTATGAAAAAGCAAAATTTATGTCGCCGTGAAAGGGTTAAGAATCTTTGCAATAAGCATTGAAGCACTCTCTTCAATGTGGTGAAACCTAACTTCTCAGTAGTCAATTCTCTACCCAATTTTAATGACACTTCTGTTATTACCTGTTGATAATGAATACGTTGGATTCGATGATGAACATGAATAATTCAGAGATTGTACAGATAAATTTTGTTGATTATCCATTGGAAAATAACATTGTGGAATATTTGATTCAATATTATAATCTGGTCGTTGTTGAGGAATGCATATAGATAATCTTGTTGGAGAAACTATAGATTGAATATTTGTATTACTTGTTGATGATTCACAAGCAGTATATGTATGTTTTTGATTACGTGTTTTTTCTTCACGACGCCATTTAGCTCTTCGATTAGAAAACCAAACCTTAGTTTAATTGAAAAAGTTTTGATTTAAATTATACATAAACAACTCAGATTTACTTGTATACGGTTTTCTGGTAAATCTATACTTTTTGCTAAACGTTCTCGTACATAAATATCCGGATAATGTGTATGTTCAAATTCTAATTTAAAAAAAATAGAACAAAGAGTATAATAATAATAAAAAAAAAACCTTTTTCAAGCATTCCTATTTGTTCTTGTGTAAAAGCTGTTCGATTACGTTGTAGTTTTTGTTTTAATGAAACTTTTGAATCAAAATCCTTATTTATGCTTTGGTCATTATCATTGATACTATTACCATCTTCGTTCATTAATTCATATTTAACTTCTTCGATTAAAGTATTTGTTGCATCTAAAAATTATATTTATATATTTTTCTTTGCTACATAAATTTATTTCTTTACTTGTATTATATATCGGATTATGATAAGTCCATGTATATGTTGGATTTGTTGAAATATTTGTTCCTCCTACTAGTGGCAAAAACGAGGATGATGATGAATTAAGTAAACTATCATATTGAAAATTTGAAGTAGATTTCATTAATGTTGAAGAAGATAAATTACGTAATACTCGATTGATAGAAGAAATCTAATGAATAACAAAAAGAAAATAGACGAAGATACGTATGAAAAATATTTAATTATATCAAAGTACACTCGGTAAATTATCATTTGTACATATAAATTCCTTAAGAAGACGTTCACGAATTTCCCATGCAAATATTGATGAATTTTCAGTTTTTATTTGTGCAATTTTTGCAATGACATCTAATGAAATCATATATTTAAAAAACTATACTCGTTAAAAATAAAAGAAAAATGAAAATTAACTTGGTGTTGCAACACGTGGTTTTGAACCACCGATAGCTCTCGGCTTTACCGAGCCGGTTTGATAAAATCGACCCAAGATTTTAGATACACATCCATTCGATACTATAAGATACAAAAACTTCATTAAATAAATCTTCGAATGATTGTATGTCTTTCTTTTTAACCTTGTAATTTTCGTGAAATTTCACACGGTCTTGCACCTTGTCGAGCCAGTTCAACAATTTGATGTCGAATAGTTTCAGATAATGGTCGTCCGTTTACGAAAACTCCACCTAATTGATTAACACCACTATGACCTTTCAAAAAAAAACAATCATATGCAAAAGAAAAACCTGAATTCATGTCAAATTTACCTTCTAAAATAATTTTATACATCAATGAAGACATTATATTTTATTTAATAAATAAAAAAAAAGTGTCCAAAGACAAAAAAAAACGAAATGACTTTCTCTTGTATTATCTCATGTAGATGTGTCGCATATGGTCAAAAAAATCAGACTAGCCTTTTATAGAAAATAATTAAAAATCGAATCAATGGTAATACTCTATTAGGATTAATTCCCTATAGAAAAAATTAATAGGACTTGTCAGAAAGAATAGGCATTATAAGATTTCACAAAATCAGTCTCGTTTAATATTAAGCAAAAAACAATATGAAAAAAAAATTTTGTAACTACTTACGTCAATGAAATAAGAAAAAAGACTTGTTTTATTTTATCTAAAAACAAAAGACAGGAAAATCATAGTGTGAAAGATAAAGTTCAGATTATGATCAACACTATCTCATTTGAAGACATCAGTTTTCTTTTTTTTTTTTTTTCGTTTCATTTTTATTTGACAACATGTATAATGATTTGATTGGTGACAACAAAAGCATGTCTATATATATAATTGATCAATGTCGTCTGTCTTTTTAGCTCACTTTCTGTTTATAAAAATATGTATTGCTTCGACCTAGAAAGAAAAACAAAACGGTACGATATGTGTACAATGAATATTATATTAATTTTAATAATTATGAATCATGTATTTGGAGTGTTTCATAAAACTTTAGACACGATAAAATTAATTTATTTGTAGACAAAAGAAAATCACCTTCTAATCGAATGTTTTTATATGAATCTTGAGTACTTGTGTCAATCTTTCAATTAATATGTTATTGAATAATATCTTGTCTTGGAAATCATAAAAATGAAGATAAATTTTTCGTGATCGATGAATAAGATATTTTAAAAAAATATGAAAAACATTCCTATATTAATCTGATCACACTAAAATCTTATCTAATTATCACGTATATGTCGTTCGTCAATTTTTATCAATTATTACGCTTCAGTTTTTCATTCTTTGTTCAATCTAGTTTTTATTGGTTTAAAGCTTCAACTGTTCATACTTTTTTCTTTCATATGGCGCATACATTTTCAGTGGACTATATGTCAGCACGAAATTTAGTGTCACTTTCTTAAGATTAACTTCGATTATAAAATAATCCATCAATAATTCAAAATACAATCTGTATTCTGTGTGTTTTGTTTTGTTTTGCGTGCGATGTTTTTCATAACTGGTATCTATTTCAATTCGACTACTGAGTATCTAACTTGACTCAACACGTAGCTCAGTGAATGGTGGTAAGTGTCGATTAAATGAATAAGATAAACTTCTATTTAGAATTGCTCATGCTTTATCAGAAAATGTTGAAGACCATCATTCAAAAATTCGCATTTAGCCTAGATATAATAGATCTTTTCGGTAGATACTTAACATAAAAGGTTCAAAAACAGCTCGTTTGACAACCCAAATTTCTCTGTGGGCCTTCATTCTGTAGAGTTATTAGTTTGCTTTGTTTGAAAGAGCATGTGACGATCCAAGGAATGGCAGAGCCTTTTTCTTTAAATTCTTTCTTTTCAAGAGCATAAAAGCTCAACGTTTCAAAAAATGGTCCTCTATATGTTCATATAGAAAACATTCGGTTACAAGTCATTTTCTATCTACATGCAAGCAAATTCTGTTGTACTTGAAGACTTATGAAATATCATATGTAGAGCTGAAATGAAAAATCTATTGTTAAAACGAAAAGCTTGTCCTGCTATCTAAATAAAAGATAAGTCAGATTTTCTTTTTTTGTTTTTACTCACATACATTCGAATAAAGCAAGAGAGAACTCGATATATTTAACACAAAAATGTCATATAAAAATAAACTCATCTTTATTCATCGTCAATTAATGCCAGCAGTTTTCATATTCCATAAAATAATGGATTGTATAGTTAGATGAAAGAAGACTCTGTTTCAATCCTTTCCTATCCATAAATTGATTACAGAAGCTATGTACGAAACGTGTGCTCTTATTTTCTAAAGAGCAATATTTCTGTATTTGAATTTTGAAATGAAAAAATTTTTCTTTTTCGCCATACACTTATACAAGTAGATTCTATATTTCTGATACAGAGTCATTATGCATTCATGTTAATAACAAAAGGAAAAAATAATCTAGACACTTTCTTGTATCTGGTTATTGTTATTGGTTGTCATTACGGATTGGTACATGAAATTTTTATTTCTCCAATAATCAATCAATTAGAATAGGAGAAGAAGAAAAAAACAAGAATCGAAATGTTTGAACAGATGAGAAAATGATAATATCTGTCACTCTTTCTCTCTTACATTTTGTATTCTTTCATACCTATGAAATCGATATGAATGAAGTAATAATACTTGCGTATGTTAGTGTATCCTTCATCTGTCTATCAAGCGGAAGATGCGCGTGCATGCGCACCTTTCGTAAGATATTTATATAGATAATGTGTTTAAAAAGGAATATTTTATCATCAAATGGAACGTGCATCGTTGCACATTTGATACCCTAAAGCATTATATGAAAGAATTCAAATTTTGAATAATGTAAGCTTGATTAAACATGATTCAGACAGAAAAATCGAATTTATTTCTATGTTATATCAGGAAAAAACATGAGACATCTTAACCAGACTTTGTGTTATTTTAATTCAATTATTATCAAGATAATTATAATTTGAGATTAGTCAAAAATCATGTCCGCTAGTTCTTTATTATATGATAATTATACCGAAGTTTTGTTGACAACACATTTATTTAGACATGTGTTTGGTATAGATTTAAAAAAAAAAAGAATGAAAGAAATATAAAAAAGTTTTTTTTTTCTCATGAACATATGTGAAAATATTGGCTCTTTCAGTTCATATCTAATTAAACTCATACAGCTAATAAATCTCTAAACTTATAATAGAAAAGTTCAAGAATCACAGAATATACTCTATGCCATAGACTACATGTATAATGAATTTCTCGATAAGATCAAATATTTAAAAAATTGCTTTTTGAAAACCGATTTTTCAGAGATGTGTTATTGTCACAGAATGAAATGTTTTATTGTGATATTATCTAGCAATCTACAAGGAGGATTTGTATGTTTTAGAATTGGCTTTTGGACCTATCATTCAGTTATAAGACATTTTTTCGTTTCGAGATTCGTATTCATTCACGTTGCTGACAACGATTAAACTCAATTGTTTGAAAAATCTAAGAATGTTCGGGAAAAAATTTGTGTCGAGATTTTATAGGTCGAAGAAATTCTCTACGAATCGTTCTATTTAGTTTTTAAATAGAAACTTGTTCAGTAAATAGCTTTGTCCATTTTGTGTGAAATCACTAACGCTGGTTTTTCAGTAATAATTCACCGTAACCAAAGTCTATATAACTGAGTTTCTCAGAGCATGTTGAATAACTGAACATACATTGGTTACTTAGAAATTACCTAAAAGAAACATTCAAGCCTAGAATTATAGGCATTTTTATTTTTCGACATCATAGCGTTAACGAATGAAATTTTCCATCTATTGTATATTATCAAAAAGTTAAATAAATAATTTTATATTTCATTCATATATTTCTAACTATATATTATAAATTAAATTTTGTTCATGATAAACATGCCAATGTTACAATTATTTCTTGTCTTTTAAAGTTTATTTTCAGTAGTCGGCATATGAACGATAGCAATAGCAAATGGACTTAAAGTTATTCGACTTAATGTTAATGTAACTTCAGTAGCTGGTCCAAAACCTGATGCTTCATTAATAATTTGCATTCGACCACCAGTACATCCAGGTAAAAATACATCAACATTAGCATATCGTTTATTAATGATCAGAACCCATCGTCGATTATTTTTACCGATGAATGCTCGACTAAAAATATTTTGATTATCAATATCCGTTGTTCGAGTTATAACAGCTTGATCATTGTCAATATCAACTGTATCAATTAATAATTTTGATGTCCAATATTTAGCTGTTCCTTCACCTGTTGTCCAATTGAGTAAAGCAACACTTGGATATTGAGGTTGAAGTTGAAGATCAGGTAACTGTGGATAACCTAATCAGAAAAATTAAATTATGTATGATAAAAATTGAAATAAGATATCAAATACTAACCAACAAGTTGACTATGTCCGACTACATTTATACCATATCGAGATATTTTTCCCCATGCATATGCATAGAGTGCAGCAGCTGCATTCCAATAAATTAATGGAAATAATGGTGAATTTGGATTATTATCATCAGGAAGAATAACACCTAATTCATCAATAGTTGTTCGTGTTTCTGGTGAAAGAATTTTTCGAATTTCTTCAATTTGTTCAACTTCAAATGTAAATGTATCAAGTTGACTAAAAAACGATTCCCAACTTTGAGAATCAATACGTGAACTTCCAATCGCATAAAAATGGTATGATATCATATCAAGTGGAATATCAGGTGCATGGTTTGAATGATTTAAAAAATATCGATACCAATCAAATTCATTGTGATCTAGAATATCCACATATATATATATGTTAGAATCCTGCGGGACAAACTTTTTCATGTCTTAAGTCTCACTTGTCCTGTTGAGTGAAAGGCGATTAACTCACAAAGCGTACTAGCCGATTTATTGTTTTTCACTTGCTGAGTTACTATGATGATCCGACGTATTAGTCATGACTCAAGTCAGGTATTCGTTCTCCAAACTAAACTATCATTTAGACATGAGAAAAAGTTTATCAAGATCGAGTGTTTTTTAGGAACCCGATTCCGTTCTGAGTCTATAAAAATGCGGAAAATGATAATTAACAGCTGAGATTTTCTTTCTATGATTATAAATGACTCAATCTGAAAAAGCCTATTGATACTTCAAATTCATATCTCTTAACTTGTCAGTTGAGCTTCTATATAGCTTCGAATCTTGTTTGCCCTATCCCGAAAAATTTTCGTGATAACTCTGAGTGTGGCACAAGATGAGACAAACGGGATTCATCGGGATGTGGAACTATTACATAGGACTCTAATACGAATACATCATCACACAAT